AAGTCCCACGTTTGACAGCAATCTGGGTCTGAGTTTCCGTAGAAGTTTGAGTCGAGGTTTCCCCAGAAGCCTTAACGGGTGAACTAGCATTGCTTTCTGACAAATTAGCGAAAGAAAGAAGCAATGTTATTTTTACGCATGAAGAAATACTTCAGAAATACCTGATTGACATAAAAAATCTCTAAATACTGTGGCGTCTAGTTCGCTCAACACCCTGTGCCCTGTAATTATTACTGTAATTGTTTATTTTTCTGTTGTTGGTGCTACTGGCTGGTCATCATTTTAAAACGGTGCATTACACTGTTGTGCTCTACAGTTCTCAGTATAAGGTGATCGTCGAACGATAAATCACATCTAGACTACAAGTGACAAAACGACACAATCATTGTTAACTTGACATAGCTAGCTTCCTGAATGAAAGACATCCCAAAACCTATCGGTTTAGTTTTGCCTGAATAAAAATGTATAAACATACTTATCTCATACCTTAAAAGAATGTTACTTTCAACTTACTTGGTTTGCTCGACAGAAACTCTTTGCATGCCAAGTAATCTTCTTCTTGAATAGCTGTTGCTAAATTTACAGACTCCACATGAAATCTCCTCTTAATTTCATCTGTCAGGAGGTATTTCTCCGCTATTTTATTTAAGCGCCCAGAACGATAGTCTTCCCACAGGCGTTCCAGTCCTTCTAGATTGTTGCACTTCACTGCTAACCGTAAACTATTCTCACTTCCTTCTGTTGGCGTTGAGTCGTGAATTAGTTTTAGATGCTGAAAGTACTGAGGTAGTTCATCAACTGGAACATCACTCTTTTCTTCTTCAGACAGTAGTTGTTGACTTTCTTTTACTTCTTCTTCTTCGTGAACAACATTATCTGACTGTTTGTATTTAACGTTGCCACTGTCTTCAAAGTTATCAAAGAAAAAAGTTAATGAAACGAGGGGAAGATAGCAAATGTTCCATTGACGTTCTTTCCCTTCGGGTTTTAATCCATGCAAAGGACATATCCCTCATCCTAGTTATAACCATGTAGTTGCACATATAAGGTATGTTTTTTGACGCTATCCTTGGTTCCTTTATTTGTACCTCATTTACTGTCGTTGTCATTTTCTGTAGATATCTGGACACTATTTCTGCATTAACCTTGTTGTCATATGGACAGGTATGTGGTGTATTTTAACACATATCAACGCAACACCATGTAAATATTGTACTAATATATTTGCTTCAGTTGAAATACGATATTAAACCAAAAAAAAAAAACAAGAAAATTTTCCTGTCTGGAGCGGTGGGATCACTGTCCTGCGAATAGTATCAGAAGATTGTAAATAAATAGACCACCAGTCAGGTTCAAGATTTAAAACTAAAAAACAAAACAAAACAAAACAAAAGAAAACAAAATGAGCGCTTACGTAGTAAACTAATTAATTAGTTTAATAAGTAGGCACCTCACTCCCCCTAAAATTTAAACATTTCTGTAGCTTCCTTTTCAATTTCATCCTTCAAATTTGTCCTAGACCCCAGGGCACATACAAAGCATTTAATCAGTGCCTTATGTTCTGTTGATATAGGTGACTTCTTGAAAAAAGTTGTAACTTACAATTAACTGCAAAGCGCACTGTCATTGGTTCAGCCTTTTCAGCGGTTTGAGTCTGAGTCTCATCAGCGGCTTGGTCAGTATGGTCGTGGGGCAGTGATTCATCTTCTTTCAATGATGAGTACTGGTTCACTTCTAAATAATTCAGGCAAAACACAACTGCATTAGTATTTTTGTGATATTTTTTTTGCGCCTGTTTTTATACAACTGTTTGAAGGAAGGTTGTCCTTCAAAAGGGTAAACGCGTACGCGACAATGTCGAAATGTATTATGGGTACTGGTGGTTCACAGTAATCACAGGAGGCCCAGGCAAACTGTTTGTGTGGTGTGCACATTTACATTTTTATAGCAAATGTATGGAATTTATATAACACTTCGCAGAATTGCATAAAATCACGAAAATATGAACAGACACTCGCTCAATAAAAAAAAATGTATCTTATATATGGCGTACTGTCGTTCTTTTGGCTCAAAATTGCCAATTTCAGCAGGTTTGAAGGATTCAGTTTACGTTCGCTGTTTACTACACGTATATTAATACTAGGGTGGAAAGTCTAAAGGCTCAAAACTGGAAAAGCTCCAGCGCAGAGGCAGATCTAAGTTATTGTTAAATAAATTAAACTATGTCGACGAAATTTGACAACGCAATTTAAATATGCGTGGTCTTTCGTCGTAACTGCCTAAGGGTCTCTGGGTTGTTTCGCCCCATTGATATTACTGACTATGCTAGTGGGTATTAGTTTTGTCAGAGGCTGAGGAATAGCGATTTTCTTCCGGCACAATTTTTTGTCTCTACGCATTCTGACGGCTTGGAAATATTCGGTCCTGAATTTTGTTCGATGGCTAGTACAGGGCCGTTTGGATGAATTTTCGATTGAATGATACAAGACGATTTGCGGAACTTCCTCTGTTCTACTGTTTAATTTGGAAGCGAAGCGCGATGAAATTTTCAGGTCAAAAACCACCTCTGCGGTGGAGCTTTTCCAGATTTGAGCCGTTGGACTTTGCGTCAAGCTGATGGCCCGACGGATTTAAACCCGATTTGACACCGACAAAAAGTCTGCAGTTCTACGACAAAAAAATCGGCTAGTGTGCGGCAGCATTAACACTGAATAAAATAACATATATGAATTCCATAAACAAGACATCAAAATAACATGTTCACGGTCAAATAAAACTTTTTAGGAATCCGGTGCAGAAAAAGTGACAATATATGAGATTTGTATGTTTCGAATATCGAATTTATTTCTATGTAACCGAAGATGTATAGAATGAACGAAAATCGGCTCTTAATATAAACATATTCGTACTGCCACCAGCCAGCGGTCACTGAGCTGTGTTTCGATATATCAGAAAAGGAAACAACACTAAGAGAAAATTATACCTTGGAATTTATTGCAAGCTATAGATTGTGGAATATTAGATATCAAATACATAAAGTAAACCAAGTCATAAAGCTTCACATCGCTCAGTCACTTGACTTGTCCATTAGGAACAGTTTGCAAGCTAAGTAATCTTTTTCCAAAATTGTTGTTTCCAGCTTAATGGATTCCACATTAAATCGTTTCTTTATGTCATCTGTCAAAAGGCGTTCTTCGGCTTCTGCATTCAAGTTCCCAGAACGGTAGTCTGCCCACAGACGTTCGAGAATTTCCAGAGTCCTGCACTCCACTTTTATCAGCAAACTTCCCTCGATTGCCTCTCTTACTATTAAGTCGAGAACTCCTTTTAAATAGTAATCAAGGCAAAGAGGGTAGTTCTCAACCGGGACTTGAGATGCATGTGTCTCAAGAAAGCATTTTGTCATCTCCCTCATTATAAGCCGCTTGGCTTCCTCTTGTTGCACAGGATCCCTGCTTCTTGCCTTTTGAAATGTAACACTGTCTATTTTTATTACGATGGGTACGGTACCTTTAAAAGAAAATTTAACATTTAAATCAAGAATCAACGGTTAAAAATTGAATTACCCACATTTAAAACCTTCATTTTCCAGAATTTGTTAAGATTATAATCTTTCAATTAACAGATGAGATTTACTTTATTATGTGTCAAATCAAGACGTAAATCTGAAACCTTACAGATACAATCAGCACTCGGCTTGGCATAGTGTTGGCCCATCAACGCAATTTGGCTTGTCGATTCATTTTAATGATTAATTGGTTTATTATAATAAACATAGTCAAACATGTGAAGGACAAATTTTGTTTCGTCTTACGGCCACTTTTTTTGTCCCGGCCAAACGCCCATTCATTTTCTTATGTTCATTTTCTTATGAGAAAATCCTGTTAATGTGGCCACCCCGTTAATACGGCCCATGGCCACATTCTGAAATCCCAGCCTGTAAAATCCTTTTTAATTTTATCCCGTTTATACGGTCACTCGAACTAGTCATGCTCATCTTTCCAATGTTGCTATTGTATGAACTGAGCGAATATTCAGTCTTTTTTTAAAAAAATTATATCTGCTGTTCCGGATGCTCATTAAAGAACAGTTGATTAGAAGTACAATTGTGATATATCTGTTTAGACGTCACTCAATTTAGACCATTAAGAAATTTGACCTTACCCCGTTGATACAGCCACCCCGTTCAGTATTGCCAAATTTTCATAGCCTGATGATGACTGTATAAACGGGGTTCTACTGTTTGTCTATTTTTTCCTATTTTCATTCTATTATTTCATTCTTTTTTAAAATTTTTATTCATTATTTCTTTTTACTTTCGTTTTCCTTTTTAGTGCAAATTACAATATTGGGATCCTTAGGGGGTTTCCGGCTGCTAATTCACTAACCACTAACGCACTAAGGTGCTCAGGTATAGAGCGGTTTTTAATTGAGTGTCGTAAAACCAAAACCACACCAATCACTTACCAATTATACTACTCAGCCAGTCTCAAACTGTAGTAAAACCAAAACCAAAACCAAAGTAATTGTCTAATTTCTTTCGACACTCAATTGAAAACCGCTCTAAACTTAAATGTTATTTAATTAATAAATTAATTTCAGTTATTTAATCAGCCCTGCCTCAAAGAGTTGGGCACTCGTGTTACTTCTTTGATAATATCACAAAGCTATTTATTATACAATCACGAGTGTTCTACTGGAAAATACACCACTCGTAAAACTCATACGAAGCCACATCCGGGACTCGGGTAGCGTATTTTTCCTCACACGTGACGATATTGACGACTTCACTGATATCATGTTTGACCATTAAGCTGTTGGTGTATGCTCGGAACATCTTCGCATCTTCCAGGAAAGTCTTCGGTAACCCTCGGTTATCTTTGGAAATCTTCAGAAATTTTCGGGAAATGTTCAGAAACGTTCGTATGGCCTTCGGAGAATTTTAGGAGAATCTTCGGAAATCTTCGAAAAGTGCTCGGAAATCTTCGGAAAATCGTCAAAAATCTCGTTATCAGCGTGTTTATGTAATAGACAAGATAATGCATGGTTACTTGTAGATATGGAATTTCTCTTCTCGAGTTCAACTTTATATCGCGCTCGTTCCCTGCGCTCACTCGTGAGATATCGAAGAGACATTCCATATCTACGCGCGTCCATGTATTATCCTCTATATATTATTTTCCAAAAATCCCTTGCTCCCCTTGTAGTACTATTCTCTTCAGAACAAAATCAATTCATTCGACTCCAAACGCATGCTCAGATCAGTTGGTGTTAGTGTCGACTATATGATATTAGGTAGAKGARYCGTTTCATACAKGATCAGCCACGAATGTCGAGTGCTTTTCCTTGTGGTAGCTAATTKCAGAAATYGAAGAAAAGGATATKGACTAAAAGGAATCACCAAGCGTACTTCTGTTAAAAGAATTAAATTCTCTTGAGTTGTAATAGCACCAAAAACTCGATATTTTACCTAGCTGAGTCGAATTCTTTTATTATATTACTAAATCGTGTGTAGTTTAACGTTACTCAAGAGTTTTATAGCCTAAGTAAAAGAGTTGATCTTTGTCCAAAACGATCCAATCGGAAACATTGGAAGCACTTTGAACTGGTTGCCAATGACAACACGTGTTGGACATACTGGTGGGAACTTCATTGTTGGCATTTCTGGCATGTATATTCTACAATTCTTTTAAATTTATACGAGTTACGATTTCCTAGAAAATGGGTGAAAAGCGCCTTTGATAATGATTACGGGTCCTTAAAGTTTGCTTTCTAATTCCTTGAGTCATTAAACCAGTTAACAGAACACATGTTTTCACAATGTATGTTTAGAAGGTACGCTACCTGAAAGACGCCAAGTCATGACTTCCGTTTGTTGAGTCAGTAGTGTTCTTCTTGTTGAGCTCTGGCAAGTTATAGGAGAATCTACCAAAAGAAAACATGAACACATATTTGTCATTCCAGTATCAAAACTACATTTCACTCATATTTAGTTGCTTCACCGATTATTTAAGGGGACTATACTGGCAGCGATAATTCTCACACAATTTTGTATATACCATACAATTTCCCAAAAGCTTTCCTAGGTTATCTTTTTCTGAGATAAAAAAGCCGAGCATCAAACGTTGTTTTCTACTCTATAATTATTTCCAAGGATAACAGGCAAGTACAAAGCTTTGCTTTCGGAGAATTCCAAACCTCCTACCAGATGAGCTAAAATATTAAGAAAATTACTCTGTTGTTGTATGAGTAGACATTCTATTATTACTAACAGAAGTTGACACTGAAAAAATTCCTACCTTGAGTCAAACTGATCATCTTACTAATGAGAGTTTTGCTTTGGTCTTCCCAACCGTATTCTTTTTCGTAAGACGCGCGCAGTGCCTCACTTTAGAGGTTGCAAATGGGGATATTTGTTTTTTTTTTTGACAGAAAGAGACTGGAACTATGGCAACAGCACTAAGGGTGTCATTTTGTTTCTTTTGTGATACACATTTGTGGTGCCAAGTTTCAAGAACACTGCTTCAATGACTTCTAGAGATATTGCTTATTCCCTATTTTACCATTTTTAGTTGCAAACAATATGACGTCATCACTGTTCTAATTTGCATAATAGAAAAACGTCAATAACTCTAAAACGAAAAAAGATATTTCAAAAAGAAAAACGCCATTCTCCTGTATTTTGAAAGGCCTTGCAGATAAGCAGAAATTATTTTTCATGTCATATGCACTTTAAGATGGGCTGTCATAAACTGCAGATACAGTTGTTCGACTTGTATGGTACTTTTAGATCTGACATCATGCAAAATTCTAACAGAACTTACTACAGTCGGCTGATCGGAACTTGTACCTACAAGCGGCATTCGCGCGATGGAAAAGTTGACTGCACCCTCGAATTACTGTCACAGGTGTAAGTCTGACATCGTTTAAGTAAAGACTAAGCAGAACAAACTAGTTAACGCGTTGATGTGACTACAGCGAGATATTGATTCCAGAAATTGGACACAAATATATCAACAAGAAGATTTCACGTCGTTCTGTTAAAAGAAGGGGATCCACTTTTGCTTAAATAGTATTAAAAACTAAATATTTTCCCCAGCTGAATCGAATTCTTTCATTTTACTGTTGGGTTTTATTGCCACGGTGTAAGAGCCGATTTTTGCGCAAACGAGCCCACCCGAAACATCGGAGAGACTTAAAACTGATTGTTAATAATAACAACTGTTCACAGATCTTGTTGATTTTTCTGGCATGTATATTCTACAAAATTTTCGAGGAGGTTTCGAGTTTCTTGTAAATCGAGTTGACAATACCCTTAATTGTAAATGAGGCTTTAGAGTTTGTAATTTGTGCTGGAGATTCCACAATTTGCAGAATTTTCTACACATCTGATTCCTACAGTCATTATACCTGTTGACAGAA